GAGTATCTGAGATATATCTAAAAATAACAATTAAAAAACTAATTATTACGTCTGAAACTCTATCTGAGGCTAAACAGTCTATTGGGTAAATGTCTTTATTTGCAATAGTGCTCTAGATATGATATTTTAATGAGGTCACATAGCCATATATGATTTGAAAACATGTGACTAATGTCCTCAATAACGCACTGGTTAAATGTCTCCATCAGCAAAAATGCAACACACACATCTCAACACACCAATCTCATTTGAATATTAACAGGAACACATGGAGTGGAGTGCTTGTGTCAACCAACCAACCAACCAATCTTAATTCATTAATATAAATATTAGACTCATTATAAGTTGGCCACCACCATACACATAATCTCATCTTAAATATTTTACGTATTTGACCAGTATTATCTTCTTTTTGACAGGTGTTTAACATATCCATGTATCATGCTGTCAATACTAACAAAATTGGATGTATATCATTCTGACATGCATTAAATTGTGTTTCCTTTTAAAATCAGTGCATTAACTGAAGCGTTTGGATCACAACCGGCCGATTGTTGAATGGTTAATCGTGTTTACAGGTAAATACTATCTAAAGATTGAACATGGTGCTCAATTTAATACAGTTCTGAGCACATAGAAGGAAGTGACTGACTGATTTCGTACTGAGGGAGAATCAACATTGCATAAACCTGTCTTAGACATGATGTTTGATATCATTAAAGGTGGGTGTATTACATTACGATTTTGAAAATGTTATTTGAAATCTCACGAGTTAGTTATTGAATGAAACCTTTTTATAAACAAGAGTACTTGCCATCTTTGTCGAATCCAATCTGCAGTAAGTAGACACAATAAATAAATAAATAAATAAATAAATAAATAAATAAATAAATAAATAAATAAATAAATAAATAAATAAATAAATAAATAAATAAATAAATAAATAAATGAAGCAAAAACATACTTTATGGGTATGGTTATTATTATGATAGTGGACGATTCATCAGAATCGGGAAAATGAAAAATAGAATCAAAGAGCAATTCAAAATAGTTTATGGACAACAAAAACGGAAAGTTAAGGTTTCTTTCTAAGTCTGTGCCTAATTCAATGCATAAAAATGATTTGACAGAATACGTGTCATATATACTTCTGGGTTGCAGCTTTGTTACTTTGCTTGTTTCATAAACAATATCAGGAAAATGGGTCTAAAGGCAAAATAAGCTTGCTTTCTTGTAAATATTATTGCGCATGTGAATGTATTTTATTGTAGGAAAGGTGGGGTGCTTGACAGCTGGAAGAATCAGATTCTCGAAGGCAAACGTGTTGTTCCAAAAACGTTACAATGTATTTATTTATTTAATTAATTCCATATGGTTTTTCATATTTATGATTAATATACGAGTATTAACTTAAGCATTGTAGTGTCCAATTCAAGTGACGAATTAACCATTTTTACGTAGGTCCAGGAGCAAATGTATTTTAGAAACAATATGAATAAATAATTCCTTATTTTAGGTGTAAAGCCAGTGTCGACACATTGGGGTGCTTGCATTATAGCATGTACACCGAGTGGCCGTGTGTACTGCGACATGGTGACGCCTACACTGGGAGTGGCGGTTGTTGCTACTCGAATTGGTGCTGCTGGTGCTGATGAGATCGGTAGGATGGCAGCACAGATGATGAAAGCTGGGAAATGGGATTACGATTTACCCGCCGAAAACTGTCAAGTACAATTTAAAAATTTTAAATATTTTAAGAAACTCGCATTGAAATTAAAATATGTATTAAACAAGGCAATATGGATATGGTTTAACACTACTGTCCATCATAATTAAGGTAGCGAGAGGGGAGAACGAGAAGAAAAGTTTTCCAAAAAAATTCAAAGTATTAAACATTATATTGTATACTTACTATAAAGTCGTTAGTCAAAATTTACTGTACGCGATGTATTTAGTGCGTAATTTCGGGTTATTTTCATGAACTCACCTCCGTACATTAGCATACCAGGTTGAGTGACGGACTGAAGACAAAGGATTTAATTTGCATACTGATTTGTTGATCATCCAGTTTTATTATATCCTGTATAATCTGACAATTACGGTATCGCATTCGAAACACAAACATTCACACAATAAGGTTTATCTTCTATCATCTGTTGAATACAATTATAATGTAATTATTTCCAATAATAAAATTAATTACAACATTATATTAAACAATTAAACTAAGGAAATTAAGAAAGTTCATGTTTACAAATAGATGAACGGCTATATGAACTTGGCATTCCAATGTAAATGAACATGCAGTGCTGGCTAAGTTGTTCCTAATACGTATCCTTCAGTTTCACATTCACTTAGTATTGAAGATGCCCATTTCCCAGTTTAGAAATAGTCAGAGCTTTAATTTGTTGTTAACTGAATAACAGACATGTACTATTGGGTGTTAGCTTGTGGAAAAAAATATGAAATATATCATTACGAAAAGTCAAGCTACATGTTTAATTTTGCAGATATTTTGAAATTCCTCACATTTTAAGAGCACTGCAAAAAGCGGTGTATTCCATACTTTTTCAAAGATTTCAAAACATAAACATTTTAAGCATATGTAGGGACCATGTGGTCAACACCTTCTATACCTTCCTATACTAAAAATATGTTTTGTTAGTTAACACATAAAGTTGTTCACATATCAAGATGTATCTAGCAATATCTGATAGTACAAATATCAAAGAATTATTTATGAGTTCAATTATTTTTTTAGAACTGATATAACAATAATGTTTTAGTCTGGCTATCCATACAAATAACTTCAATAACTGTTTAAAAATGGTATAAAGACAAGACAATCACTGACATAATATTATATATATGCACGTAGAAATTTCTTCGAATGACTAGCAGCCATTTTTGTTCCTACCGAAAAACAACATTTACATAGAACGATTAGCAACTTAGTACTAACACATGATGTAGGTAGATAAATTGGTACTGCGTTTTGATTGTCGAACGATGGCCATTTTATTTTTTTCTCAAATGTCATACGTCTTCCACAGATGCCCACCCACACGTTTCCATTTTAGATCTGTGTCCCACTGAAATAGGCAGTTATTGATTTTTTTGCTGAAAATGATTACTCGTATGCAAGTAAATTTGAGATATTTCTCGTGCTGTAGCCACGCCCACCTATCCTGAAACGGTTGACTGTTTCCGGATTTCCGACTCTTGCCGAAAGTGCGCCACCAAATGCCAAAATATGAGAGGAAGCCATACTCCTGAGCCGTACTTTTATGACACTGCGTCATTCAACATACTTTTAAACGATATACATTTTCTGTCGGCGTTTCTTTCTTTTTTTGTCTATTTTTTTTTTTTTTTTTTTGAGAGAGTTTTTAGAAGTTGTTTTCACAACAAACATTTATGATGGTTAAACGTTGTGTTGTGGGCGGGTGCAGTACTACACCACCGATCCGAAGGTGCGACATCAGTGGGCGGACGGATGGACCTTCTACTTACAGCGTCATATGTAGTGTCCACTTTACCTCAAATTCTTTTTCCGAAGAACTGACTTCGTCCATGAAAAAAACAACTAGGTTTTAAAGAGAAGTAAACCTGGCGTAATACCAACACTGAGAAGCTAATGAGGAGCTTCGTTTTAAAATTCACAAAAATAAAGTTGCTTCAGACTGAGTTTAAAATGCATTTTTTCACTTAAAAAAATAATTTATGCTTAGAAACATAAAAATTAATAATGTTGATGTACCAATGAATGCTTTTAGGCGAGAAAATAGCAGCCATTTCACAGGTACTTTAATTGATTGACGGCAATTTTCGTTCAAAAATACATTGAAATTACAGATCTCAACATGAAATCACTCATTTCGCAGGCATGCGCATGTCGATGTATTCAAACTTGGCATGAACGTATCGCACATGAAAAGTTAATGAAGCAAATTCTTTGTAGTGCGATTCAAAACGACCAACTGGAAGTTTTGTTTTAAATGTCATTAAACCCATTTACAATTTTGAGAGTTTTTGATTAAATTAAAATAAGACACGATTTACATGTCCTCAGTTATTATTTATTTTCTGAAATTTTGTTTCAGCCATTTTGTTTAATTCTTCAATTCATCTGACATGTTTGACCAATTTTGTTTGTTGGGTTTCTTATGTACACCAATGTTTTATTGTTTCAAAGAAACATTCCTCTTTTTTTGGTGACCTTATATACGAACCAATCAAATACAAACAGTGACTATGACTTGGCATTACACATTTACATACATTACAGCATTATTCTCTTTCATTTATTGCAATAACCATGAACATATGAATACAGTGTAAGCAGTTTTATTTTGCAACTGTTTAATAACAATGTAAGAACATTACAATTTATCTGCAATCTCAACATACCGGTAGTGCAATGCCACTGGATTAATGTGACAAAATAACAGTTTAAAACAACATATCTTCTTTAGTACTAGCTGTCACCAGTAAGGTTGCATATGACATAATATATTATTAAATTCATTTGGGTGATTAACTAAAACAGGACTGATATATTTCTCAGTGAAGTACTTATTCACATGATGTATCCCTTGCAAAACGGCACACTATTGAGGCTTGTGAACCACAATGTTTTTACTCGTGTATCACAACCTTTATTGGTTTATGCACCATACTTAGGAATGTAAATTAGCCATGTAAATTAGCACAGTGGTGGATGAGCTGAAAACTGATATGTAAATTAGTCATATAGCCAAAAATTAGTCAAAAGTTGACCTAAATACATTATGTAAATTACCTACATGGATATGTTACCTGCATGCACACACCATAAATTATATGAATTTTATGACATAACTTTATGTATTTTAAAAATCATAAAATGTTATGTATGCATATATCTGTATACAATTTTAATAGATATATTGAAAATGTATATGTCAAAGGTACACATCAATCTAGTCATTATTTTTCTGCACAGTTTTTTCCCTCGCGGCACAATCAAAAAACGATATGTGCATTTAAAAACAACTGTAGGTTAGCTATATAGCATGTAAACACTTTATAAGGAATCCCCTGTTTTAAACTGCAGTACATGTTGTAGTCCTAATTGTATATCCATTCATGCACCCAAACTGATTGAAAAATCAACCTTTACATATTTAGTATTCATGCAAATTGACCGTACTATCTATCAGCATGATCTGTGTGTAATTCACACCACATATATTCAGTAACACCAAGGCAGCCATTTTGTACTCTCTATTCCCACTTAATATTTAAGAGCCCTGACATCTGGTAGAGTGTGTCATTTCATGGGTGATCCCAACATAAGCTACAACTTAATTACAGTTCTGATACATAATTGGAAAAAACTGTCAAACATGCAGTTCATGTTTGTGTACCCTCAAGCAAAATCCAACAGTGAGTCAGAAATCAGTCACTACTAACTCACTTCAGTTCACATGAGTCAAAGGATTGTGGATTACTTTTAAGGATATGACTCATGTGCCACTAAGCAGTGGTGCCCTAGTCACTATATTTCTTTTCCATATTATACAAGAGCTATATATAGCATTTAATTAGGCAACGTTTGTGTCAACACTGTTAATGTGTAATGTTGGCAAGTAAAATGAGATGTTGGGTCACACTAAGTTGAACTTGATGTCAGGTAGCATATTTGCTGATATCTACTGCATCAATACCATGCATCACTCCAATTCCACATTGGACAGAACATCCATGGATTTGAACAGAGCTACAGACTAAAATGAGGGAGCTCGATCTGAAAGTCACTTCCCGAAAGTTGTGACCTTTGGGGATTCAGAAACATGTCCAACAACGTTTAATGCTATACAGCTTCAATCCCATAATGAGCCTGGTTAATCTTCACACTGAAGAACATAAAGTGAGGAAAAGTAATTGTTAGCAGTCAAGTATGTTCTTACATTTTACAGCCTATTATTTTGAAGAAGACACTGTAGAGTGATAATTTCACTGGAATTTCTCAGTCACAAATACATATTAGAACATTCCTGGCAGAGAAAATGTATCAACAACGATATATTTTTAATTTATGATTATTATCCCACACGCAGAATACAGGTGAGTTGATTGGGTAATACATTTTTGAGTGTTCATCATCACAAATAAAGAATGATTTTGAAAAGAAATGTTAATATCTTTTTTTTGTGTTCCTTTTAATACTGAGGGGGAAAACATGACTATATCATAAGATTTGTCTCCCTGATGTGACAATTATTGACAGAAGTTGAGCAGTTGAGGTGAATGATTGTCACATAGGGAGACAAACCTTCATATAATCACAGTAAATCATTTTTCGGCGGATTGTTTGTGTTCAAATTATGTCACCTAGTCTCAGAGGAAACACTACAATGCAGTGTAGAACAGCACAGCTCGGCACAACAATCCTGTATATTATGATATTTATCATATTTTTAATGTCTTAATTGGCAAGAATATTTAGGATGTCATATAAACACATCTATATTAGACCTCAATGTGCAGATTGAAGAAAATACACTGTAAAATACCTGTATTTCTTTTGATGTACTTATTTCCAGACTTTTCATTGTAAACATAGGACAGGTTACATCAAACATTTCACCTATAGACAAAATACAACAGATTATATATGATGTCTCAAAACAACCTGGCAGTATTGCTCCAGAGATTCAGTGTACGCATAGAAGACTGGAATCCGGGAAACACTGATCCATACAATGTGATTGAAATATGATCTACTGTTTTGACTTTTGAGCATAATATTTTACGATTCTTCTTCACTGAAAGTATCCACAATAAAAAAAAGGGTTGTCTGAGATTGTTACTATAGAATGATCTAAAATAAACATGTTCTGAAATTATTTTGTTGTCAATATTCATATTTATCATGTTATTTAATATATAGTTAGATACCAACACTGACAATTAAGGTTTCAGAATTATGAGTTTTGGTCAGGGAGATATTTTTCGACCATGCCATTTTTGAATAATCTTTTGGTTAAAATCTCAAAGTTCATTAATGTAATACACATTACCATAGAACTATTATACATGTAGCTCCATGATTGACATCAACACTGTCATGCGGTTTATGACAAACTTTCCTCATACTTAACATATGATTACTGTTTATCTTTGCCCCAACATGTCCACATATATTTCATGAAAATAAACATACATAATGTAAATGATTATGAGGGTATTTTATTGCATTATTTACATTACCTGAATTCAACTTTTCCATTGTAAAGTAGCCAGACATGTAACCCGTTGGAGTGGCAAAATGAGTTATGCTCACCCATGAATATGAAGTACCCGGCCTTAAGATAGGAAAGGCACCTAGACAAATTGAAACAAAGATTTGATTTTTAAAAGCTGGAAATTGAGCATACCTATAAAGGGATAACATGCAAATTATGTCAATAATGGATACTAGTGTGCCCTCTAAAGAGTCATAAACATTTGTGCCTCAAGTCACCTTTATAAGCACATACGACTTTTTTTTTCTTGCCTCCCTAGCAGCCAACAAGGTGACTCAAATTCTTTTTAAAGAATTCCATTTTGACTCACAATCCAACAAACACTGGGTACTTAGTAACCACTATAAAGATATAAATGAGACATTTTCCTTTTTAAATATATTTTGTGTGTGCCAATCTATAATTTGGACACACTGACAGTATGGCACTTTTTAATATGAAAATTACAAGTATTAATTGTATATACTGCATTTTGACACCAAAATATTGGACTCTTACCAACAACGCCTTCTCCATCCACAATTTCAATTCTTCCCTGACCATCAACAACCTCCCAGTGACGATGTTGTAGTTGGCAGCTATCTGCAAAATTGTGTACAAATGTCTATGTATGCATCAACAGAAAATTCTACGTTATATGTAAAAGCGCAATATTCCCCTTCCAAAAATCAGCATTTTGTCATTGAGCTCAAAAAAGAAATTTTAATTCAATGTCAAAACGTTTTTGCAACAGATCTCGTTGTGAATGGAAAATCACCTATTAAACTTATTTCTAACACATGGCATGACAGAATGCATAATAGATTCTTCAGGTTTGATTGTGGAATATGAATGAGAAGGTTATCAGCCTATA